TGTGAAAGGTGAGGCTTCTCTGATTTCCCTCTCTGCTTCCATATCCTTTGTGTATAAGAGGGCGACTGATTTTTTGGAGTTGATCTTGTATCCTGCCACATTACTAAAGGTATTTATCAGCTATAAAAGTTCTTTGGTGGAGTTTTGGGGGTCACTTATGTATACTATCATATCATCTGCAAATAACGAAAGTTTAACTTCTTCCTTTCCAATTCTAATCCCCTTGATCCCCTTATGATGTTTTATTATTTTTGCTAGAACTTCAAGCACTATATTGAAGAGGTATGGCGAGAGGAAAACCCTAACTTCTTGCCCTACCTGTTGCTCCTGCTGGAAGATTCCCTGGCTATTTCCCAGAGTCACTGTAGATCTGATACTCCAGCATTCCCTCATCCTTGCTTGCTATTAAACTAACTAACTGGTAGAGGGCTTGTTTCACAAGTGAGTCCTGGAGACACAAAATTCTAGTTCTCAGAATTCAGCTCCGTGCAAGTCTCTTCCCAGGTGATATGCTTCCAAGTCATGAAAGGCCTTCTGCTGCACTGTAGAGCTCTTATCCCCTCCCCTGATACTCTAGTCTGCATTCTGTTGCTATGATAAACCACCTTGACAAAAAGAAATCAGAGGAGAAAAAATTTATTCTATATGAGGCTTTTAGTAACAATCCTTCACTATGAGAAGTCAAGGCAGAAACTCAAAGAGGAGCAGAGGCATTAACCATGGAGGAATACTGCTTACCAACTTTTCTTCAGGTCAAGTTCAGCTCCTTTCCACCAGCACCAAGGCATGGTACCACTAGCGGTTGTCTGGGCCATTCTACAAGAACAAGCAATCAAGAAAATAACCGCATGGATTCCCACAGGACATTGGCTGAAGGCAATTCTTCAACTGAGGTCTGCTCTTCTCGGTGTGTCAAATTGACAACAAAACTGACAAGGACACCTTGAAAAGCAGTAGACACACTCAGAAGCAACCTGCAAGATACTACCCCTTCAAAGGAAGCTGACATAAGGCTCCTGCAAAAGCTTAAGCCTCAGCCTGTACAATCTGCTACAGGCCAGAGTACTTAACAAGAGGATTACATAGTCTCCACCTCCAGAGAACTCTCTACAAAGATTCTTCAGTATCTTCTCATACAGAGGGAAGCCAGAGAAGGGCTGTGAGCTTCAACACTGACCCCATTTGACCCTAGTCAGCCTCATCAACCATAGGAAGCGTGGTTGCCCCTCAGCAGTGCTAGCTTTGGTTTCTCTTGTTTAAGCCTACACTAAATGCAGGCCACTTACACGTGCTCTGTTATGGTATCGTGTGCTTAATGTATCGAGCTCTATGTCCATTATAACTTGTCATAACTTGACCTGTCCTATTGAAAGTCAATGTCATATGTCTTAAAATTATGTATGGAAATATACAGATGTAGGTTTTTTTTTAATCTCATAATTTAAGAAACTCCTGAAACGTTTGTCTTTCTCCTTCCAGTTCTATGGTGCTGGGGAACATATTTCCAAAGGGAATGATCTTCATTTCTTTGTGCCCAGTTCCAAACTAAGTGTCTTTTACTTGTACACAATAAGAGCTAGGCTTTTCCCCTTGTTCTTTAAACTGAATAAATAGGAGACCTTGGTGTTAACAGTGTATATGGAATAGAGACATGTGAGACTGTCATATTCTATAAAGAATACTTTTAAGTAGAAAGAAGTCCAAATCTATTTTTAGGTGATTTTTATTCTCTTCTTTCCCTTCTGTAGATAAGGCATAGCTTCAATCCTTAGGCAGCATGACTTGGCCAGGAATAAATCTAAGATTAGCTCCAAACCAGTCCCAGTCTCTAAAGCCATCCCTGTCTGAGGAGGCTGTGACTACACTGTCAGGTGTCCCCTGAGAGTCCCTACACATTAATCCTCACAGGAATAGGATCAGAGCCCCTCCAGTGCTTTAGGGGCCCTGGTCATTGGGCTCTGCATAGCAACAAGGTCTCTAGCTCTAGGTAGTTTTTACTCCTGGAGGCTTGAAGAGAGCAGATAATATCCCTTTCTCTCAGCAGGTATGTCATCACTGTAATTGGACCCATTTATAGCTTTCCTCCTATGGAAAAGGAACGGTGTTCTGTACTTTACATACATTAATCTCTAATGAACCCAGTAACCCTTAGAATTAATGCTATTCTCCATCTGCAATATGGGAAAATTAAGGATTATAGACAGTGTATTTCCTCATGACAGGGACACTTAGTTGATAACTGACATAAACCATATTCATATCAGATATATTGAGCTTGCAGCATTCAACCTACCACTTGTTGTCTGTTTTATGATTTAATCCTTGGTGCTGAAGTGTACAAGTGCAGAAACATAGAGAGCAGCAGAGTTAGCAGTGCTAACTAAACTTAATAATTTTGCAGGTTCTTTTGGGGAGGCCTATAAGATAACACAAAATCTCAGCATTCTTTCTGTCTATACACATTATGTGCAATTATCAAGACAGACATGTTTCTAGGCCAAGGTAAAATGTCCAGATGTCTTTGGAGAAATCATTACAAAAGAATATGAGAAGATGGGACTAGAGAGGCTCAGGAGTAAAAATGAACACTGGCTGCTCTTCCAGAAGACCCTGGTTTGATTATTAGCACACACAGTGGCTCACAACCCTCTGTAACTCCAGTTCCAGTATATCTGATGCTCTTGTCTGGCCTTCACAGGCATCAGGGACATAAATAGTGGAGTTAGATACATGCTGGCAAAACATTCATGTATATAAAAATAAAATATTTTTTAAATCAATTTGAGAAAAATATAGTCAGATAAACACAGAAGCAAGCCCCTAACTCAACCATCCACACATAGATTTTAGTGAATCAACTGAATCCAAATTCAGCTGATTCCTACTATTCAAATGAGTCCTACTAAAAAGAGACACACTGCTGTAAAACACACACACACACACACACACACAATCAGCACTTAAACCATACCTGACACAAACTTAGTCTTAAATAGGAAACTAGGAAGTTAGGGGGTCTCAGAACTTGAAGCTTTGCAGGAGTCCATGAAAGTCACATTTTACTTCCTATATATAATGGCCTTTACCTTTAATTTTTTACAATTGTATTTATTTAATGTGTGTATGTGTGGGGGCCCGTGTGCAGAAGTCAACAGACAATTTAAAGAGTCAGTTCTCTCCTCCCATCATGGGGTCCCAGAAACAAGTATAAATTATCAGGCATCTTGTGGTCCCTGGTCTTAACTCTTTAATGGGTCACTTCATCATCTTTTAAGCTGGTTTGGGGCTATGGTAGGGCAGAATACAGCTAGGCAGGAAATCCAGGTAGAGATAGAGGAGAATGAAGGCAGAGTCAGGGAGATGCCAGCAGCCACCGGAAAAGCAAGATGTGAGGTAATAAGCCACAGGCCTCATGGCATAATATAGAATAATAGAAATAGGTTGATTTAAATTGTAAGCCTGAGCTAATAGGCCAAACAGCTTGTCACTCATATTAAGCCTCAGAATGGTTTATTCAGGAACTAGCAGGTAGGAGAGAAAACTCCACTGAATATGACATAGAAAACTGTATTTCCCTTTACTTATCATTTTAAAGTATGGTAGTTATTTACAGAAAGATTTTCTAAACGCTAATGTGGAAAGAACATTCGTAGATAAAGGAAGGTCTTACATCTGTACAAAAGTGGAAATCAATTTATTTCCTACTCCTGTGTATGTCCATAATGAAATTTCAGTACTTTTGTCCCCAGCTTCATTCAGACATGGACAGAGGAGATGGATCCATCAAATACATCCTTTCAGGAGAAGGAGCAGGCATCGTGTTTACTATTGATGACACCACTGGAGACATCCATGCCATTCAGAGGCTGGACCGAGAAGAAAGAGCCCAATACACTTTAAGAGCTCAAGCCCTAGATAGGCGGACAGGCCGACCAATGGAGCCAGAGTCAGAGTTCATCATCAAAATCCAAGATATCAATGACAATGAGCCAAAGTTCCTCGATGGACCTTACATTGCCACTGTGCCAGAAATGTCACCAGTAGGTAAGGTGGGGATGCACTGATTCTTCACAAACAGTAGACACACTCTAGGTGACCCTATTGTGTACACATAGAGCAGAAAATGTGCAGAAATCATAAAAGTGAAACCAAGATGACTACCATCAGTGGGTAGGAAGTTATGCAGCTTTTTAAAGCCACCACATTAAGCATAATAAATCTCCCAGCCTCTTCCAGTTCTGATTTCTTAAGAATAAACTATGAATTAGATGGCTAATAGCATATATTTGGTTGCTAAGGGTTAATACTGGCTCTTACCAATGAAAAAAGAAGACTTCATAGTCAGTGTTACTTTTACTGGTTACTAAGAATTTAAACACCCCATTGAGTAACAAGAGGCTTGATCTAGGAAGGAAACTCTCCCAAAGAAGCAAGCATAACATCTGCAAAATGTTTTAAGGTTAACCATTCAGGATATACCAGCTCTTTATAACTGCTTGAACAGATTTCTCCCACTTCTCTCCTTCAGGTACCTCTGTTATTCAAGTGACAGCCACAGATGCTGATGACCCAACCTATGGCAACAGTGCCCGGGTAGTGTATAGCATTCTCCAGGGCCAACCGTATTTTTCTGTGGACTCCAAAACAGGTATATAGTACAAGTGTCAAGGCAGAGGTGATTGTTTATTGAATAATCTTTGTGTTTCCTTCTTAGGACAGACCCAACTCATCTTTTCAAGGACCCTCCAGGAAATGTATTACACAGAAAATGGACTGTCATAATCTTTAGGATTATGAGAGCACATTGGAAGTGTTGGGTATGGGGAGGGCGAGACAGTGTTCATGGATTGCTGAGCAACACTAAAGCCCTGCCTACAGAAATTGTCTCCTCATCACCTCCCCAAAATTCTCATGCCTATATTTATTTACCAAGGTTTAAGGTCTTCTCTAACTCCATCAAAACCAAAGCAAGCCATATTCACCTGGGCTTGCTCTATAGTTAGACTCACAGAGCCTTCTGGGCAATCATTCAGCTGACCATCAGGATTCAGTCAAGTGCTAACCAAGTTCCTGTAGTTACTGATATACCCACAACGTTTTATCTACTGAGCCAATCCTTGCTAAGCAAAAGACAAGGGCAGAGTGAATGACTGCCAGGCAAGTGGGTTTTGATGAGACAGGCAAGAGCAAATGAATATGGTCCCCAGAAAGTCAGAGCCTATTGGAGGTCACTCTTGCAAGGGGGGGATGCAAAGAGAACAGAACTGATAAGGGGCAGCATGGCAGAAGAGGAGAGACTGGGAAGCCTAAGGCTTTGCTTGTTTCAAGGAACTTTGACTACAGGATTCATGTTTTATCCCAAGGGAAATCACTTTGGTGTCTGTATTGGGCAGAATAGCTACTGTTACTGTTACTGAACCAGGGTTTCTCCTTCTCCAAGCACTTTCATAAACGGTACCATTTTTAACCTCCCAATAGGAAGTATTACTGCTCCCACTTTTCGGAGGGAAAGCAGACCTAAGAGGCAGAACTTGAGCAAAGAAACAACCACATAGCCTTAATCACCAGTGAACAGTCAAAGTCACCTCCTTTTCTGATAGAAAAGAAATATATCTCTGTTATTACTGGGAGAATTTTCTTTCCTATATGTCCTCAAGGTAGCCCAGCATTCAGAAAATAGTATCATAAAGGTAGAAAGTGAGAGAGTGTAAATTAGTAGGAGGAAAGAGCAAAGATCACAGCTAGAAATGTCTATAAAGCAGAAGCTTCAGTAATTCTACCAACGGGGAAGGGGACGAATGAAGGGATGCCCGCAGGAAAGAAAACTCCAGGCAGAAACAGGGTCGTGCGTCCTTTACATCCTTGGAAGGAGTGTACATTATTCTGACAATGCCCATGAGGGGCGTCAACAGTGTTAAGGTCAAAAATACATGAGGCGATTGTCATTGCTTTGGCCAAGAGGCATTTACAAGGAAAAATACTGCACATTCCCTTTTAGGACGACATCAGTGACTACACCACATACATCACTGGAGGAAACTTAGGCAGGGCGTTGTCCCACAGGCTTGCCTTTCCCTGCAGGATGCCAGTTTAGTCACAGGCTGTGTCATAACCCTGTAACAATAGGCCTTAACCTTCCCTGCAAGTGTAGGAAAGCCAGATTTCCTAAACTGGAGGTTAAAAAGGAGATAAAACTCTAAACATCCCTGGCAGATCAGAATCTACATGTCGCTGCATATGGTTTAGACCCCTCTTCTTAGTGAAATCCAGTCACCACACCTTCATGCTGCTTTTCCACTGAACTGTCTGGGGAAGTTAATCTTTTATGCATGGCAAAAATAAACAACACACACTGCGTCTCTCTGCCCTTCCTGCTTCAGGAACTCAAGGCACAGAAGTAAGCAGAGGAAAAGAGAACAGCAACTGTAAACAAAGGGAGTCTAATCCTTTTCATCCCTCCTTCCCGGCAGGGGGGAAGCAGGGAAACACACAAGGAGACAGTTTCTAGAGAGTCATCCACACTACCAGGGCTCTAGGGCTGAAGGCAGAAGGAGCAGGGAAATTATCTAGAATCACAGATTTGTAGACACATGGAGCTTTGTTTCCTGTACTCAAATCCCAGGTAAAGAAACTCTACAGCCGCCTAACAGGCATGTCCTGGAGTCTGTAGGAAAACCACTGCTGCCACCTCCTGTTCTGCTTCAGTAACGTTGCCAAGGACACAGCCTCTGAGCCTTTCCTGATGGCTGTCTATTCCTTGGTCCTTTGTTTCACACGGTGCTTTTCTGAAGCTGGGATTTTAACCACACGTTTAATAAAAATAGGCGCTGTGCATCTTGGTATTTACATACACAAAGGAGAGAAGCACACATGCATCCTCAGAAGACCTGCTTTGCCAGTTTGTGTTTTAAAACAATTCCTATCCTGCAGGTGTAATCAGAACAGCACTCATGAACATGGACAGAGAAGCCAAAGAATACTATGAAGTAATCATCCAAGCCAAGGATATGGGAGGGCAGCTTGGAGGATTAGCTGGGACTACAACAGTCAACATCACCCTCTCAGATGTCAATGATAACCCACCCCGCTTTCCCCAGAGTAAGTACCAAGACATATCTCTCAGACCAGAGGGAGCCACACCTCACAGAGTTTAGGGGTACTGATACTTTGCATTAAATGTCATTTATTAATATCTTTCTGCACCACAACCATCAACCATCACTGAATCAGTGTTTCTCAACTCTTTTTTCACTACTTCATCCCTGTTAAATCTTCTTAAACTTTTTTCCCCATATTTTTAACCTGATGGCCACATCACCCACCTGCACACTAAGTACTAAGAATAATATTTGTCATATAGGGTTAAATTTTCATGGGTCACAAATCATCATCATGTGTAAGATTTTTTTTGACCACTAATCTCCATCAAGAGATCATTTTCAAGAAAATGATTTTCCAAATGGGCACCAATTCAGAACACATTTCATGAGACAGCCAGAGCTGTAGCTGAACAGGCCACCATCTGACCGCAGTAACCAAACAATATACAACCCAGTGCCATCCATGATCTGTAGGGACACCAGGCTCGGGCACACAAGGTACTAACCCCTGTCTCCCAAAACTTCAAATCCAGCCAGCGAGCACATGTCCTGTTATAGAGGGGGAAACCAATGAAGAATGCTTGTTGGGCCACTTGTGGGTTCATAAATGGTGCAGATTGAGTCTTATAAGATTAGTCTTATGTTGATTAATTCTACAGCCAGGAAAGACTAAAGTGTCGTGGAACAGTTTGTGCAATGCACACGAGTTTGCTACTTGTTCTCAATAAGTGAAAAATGAATGAAGGTCTCACAGAGTAATGAGACTTAAACAGAAGACTGAAGAAGAGAAAGGATTTACACTAGCAGAAAAGAAAACACAACACGCCAAAATGAAGAACCCACATTCGTTCAAGCACTATCAAGATGAGATACTACCTAGGGATGCAATATACAATATATGTGTACACACACACACACACACACACATTTATCTATTTATTTATTTATTTATTTATTTATTTATTTATTTACTTATTTCTACACACAGAAAAAGACAGGGGTGGGCATGGGGAAAGCACACAGCACAGGAAAAAGTAAGTATGGGCTCCTGACTCTCATTCTCCTTGCTAGAGGAAGCACAGCTGAGGGTTCGTCAAAGAGGACACCACTTTTAATCTGGAGCAGGACTGTACCACTGACAGAGTAGAGAATACATAATGGAACTAGTGGCAGGCAGGGGAAGACAAATTCAGATTTGAATATGAAGTGACAGCAAAGCAATCAGCTTGAATGTCCTTAAGGAATGGAGATGTGACCTTGAAAGTGAGTGCCAGAAGGGAATAAACCTGAGAAACAGCAGACACAATTCCAGGTTGAACACTTAGCAAGAAAAGGGGGGAAACAAACAAAAACTAAAATTAAAACCCAAAAATGGGGCTGAGGAAACAGCTCGATCATTCAAGAGCTTGTTCTGCAAGCGTGAGCATGAGGACCCAAGTGCAGGCCTAGAATCCCAGGCTAGCAATGCTGGTACCCTTTTGTAATCCCCATGCTGGGATGTCAGAAAAGAGCAGATTCCGGGATTCCCTGCCCCATGTTCTTAACATACTTAACGTAATATACAGCAAGTTATAGGCCAATGAGAAACCCTCTCTCAAAACAAGGGATAAGGCACCTAAGGAACAACACATAAGGTTTACTTCTGGCTTCTACACACAAGTATACACACATGCACGTGCATGTGCATGCGCAAACACACACACACACACACACACACCTAAATTACAAACAAAATAAATTCAGACTATTAGCTGAATAGCTTGCATTTTGAACCAGCTGGGTCAAAATGACTTCTATTTCGTTTATGTAAATAAAGAGAGCTCAAATAGTTGTTGAAAGACCCTCAGAGAGGACCTTCCCTCAGGAGGAGACCCCTGAACCCAAAGAACAGTCTGAGACCACTGGCTGCAAACAGCAAGAGGTTTCTTTATTGGGTGTACACAGGTACCTGTGGGCAGCAAAGTCTATTTGGAGGACTTGCTTGCCTGCAGACTGGGTGAAGGTCTTTTTATAGGAAAAAGGGCGGGCAGAAGCAGGCATACAAAAGCAGATGCATGGTTACAGGAATCCCATTGGTAGGTTGGAATGAGGCGAGGGGCACATATGGTTTTTCCCCCGAAAGTTCGGTTCCCCTTCCAGCACAGATGTATGGCCACAGATATTCTGTTTTGCAGCTAGGGGTCCTGACCTCAGGTATCCTGTTTTGCTAAGCAAACGGGATGTTCTCATGAGAGCAGGCTAGCTACAGGTCCTGAGGGGGTCAATCAAACAGGATGTTCTCATGGTATAGCCGACTGCAGGTCCTGAAAATCTTTCAAACAAACAGGATGTTCTCACAGGAGCAGGATAGCTGCAGGTTCTGAGGGGGGGCGGGTCCAGAGGGTCTTTCAGTTGTGTGCAAATGGAATACACAAAGTCGCCATGGCCATTCATGGAAGACAAAAGGCAGGATATCCAGCAAGTGTTTTACAATGATACAAATGAGCGAGTTACTAAGATGACTAGTTCACCAATCAGAGTGCAGTATAAACTTGCATATGGAGCGATGGGTGCAGTTTACTGATCCTGAGTTCCATATTCATTCACAAATGACTCGTGTTATGCACCCCACATAAACACTGTGGGCTCTGAATATTCTGAATTATTGAACTTTTCAAATAAGACACTAACTGTGTATCCCTGATGAAGGCAGAATGGGAAGCAGAAGAGCCAAGGAACTGCAAAGCTCAACAGTTTAGAGATCTGGACATTGTGGATATAGTCACATGTTCCTCCAGGCATGGCAGCTCCTTAGAATATTACACAATACAGTGAAGATGGGGACTTTAGTCCTACCCCCAAATCAAAGCTCTAAGACCATTCTCCACTAAAATACAGTACTTTTGCACTTTTCAAAATAAATTAATTCATCATTAAATATTTCTCCATTTATTTGTGAAAGTCAAATTTGAATAATTTTATTCAAATATAACTATTATTATTAAAAATAATAATAAATAATTATTTCTTAACTCTACCTTGAATTAAATGCTTCTGCTCTACTGTTCTTCTGATTCCCTATTATAGGAAATCCGTTTAGCTTCTTTCTCAAAAATATTATCATAACTAACTGTGAGATGCTGACAAAATGTCATGCCTACTCTTTTATGTTGAACAAGCCTAATCACCTTTAACTGAACCACATTGAAAAATAATATTATGTGCTCAAGATATTTATTTCTGTTTTTTGTTTGTTTGTTTGTTTTGGTTTTTTGAGATAGGATTTCTCTATAGCTTTGGTGCCTGTCTTGGGACTAGCTCTTGTAGAATAGGCTGGCCTTGAACTCGCAGACATCCGCCTGCCTCTGCCTCCCAAGTGCTGGGATTAAAGGCATGCACCACCACTGCCCAGCAAGATATTTATTTCTAATGCCATGTAGAAATTCTAATACATGCTTAATTTATAACTGTGTTTAAACACATAGGATAGCTTTCCTTTCTGAAAAGATTATAGGTACATGTATGTTTTGCCTAAAATTTCTGGGAAAAAAAGTGTAATCCATTGATAACTTCGCATGGCACCATAGAGAATCCCTGACTCATACTTGTAAGGAACAAACATTGCTTCTTCTCCCACAACCCTGGGGGCCATCAGCTCCTTTGCCTCAGGCCTCATAGTTTTACATAATAAAAAAGAGGAACTATGGAAAGGCTCAGGAGCTAGGAGTGATTCCTGCTTTGGCAAATGACTCTGGTTCAGTTCCCAACACCCACATCAAGCAGCTCATGACTCACAGCCATTGTCATTCAAATTCCAGAGACTAGAATAGCCTCTGCAGCCTGCAAGCACCTGATGCACGTGATGCACAGAAACTCATGTAGTCATGCCTATATACACAAAAAATTGATAAGAAACTGAAAAAATATTGATAATGTGTGTGATTTTAGTTATTTAGTTAGCCAGCCTGGGACTGCTAAAAAAGTAAGTTCTCAAATATACAACTTCACAGAGGTGAAAATAGGCTAAAAAATAAAGATTATGAACAAGAGCATCAACTCAAAAAGGAAGGCATACCAATGCTGGGCATCAACTCAAAGGAAGGCATTATCAACGCTGAGCTTCTTCTACATGTGGGATCCGGTTTGGCTATTTGAGTTTAGAATTAGAACATAAAGCCCATGCAGAGGCATCCAGATAGCCACAGCTATGGAAAACAAGGTGATGTACCACACATGGAGCTCAAAGGGCTCCATCCACTCGGGTCACTGGTCATAGAGATGGGACTGTAGCACACAGGCCAGGACATAAACAAAAACTAGGACATTTGAAATCTGATGAAATAAATGTGCTTTGTGATCCCATGCTGACCAGGAAAAGCATGGCATTGGGAGAAATATCCCATTCATGTGGCACCTTAAAAATGAGGAAGCAAGGAGTTTCTTCCTACACTGAAGGATAAACGAAACAAAGAGAGGTCCACTGTTACCCTGTCTTACTCTTGGGCTCTGTGGAGCTATTTCAACTTCTCCTTATTGAACATTCAGCACAGCCTATAGGCGGTGGGCATGCTTTCACTCTCTAGACTGAAATTTTAAACTGTAAAAGTTAAGTTTTAACTTATGAACCACGGAAAAATGGTTTACATGGCATGCCTGATATGTGATAATAAGGCCAACTTTTAGTGGTAGATTATCAAGAATAAATGTTCCTGCTTTTCTTCACAGAACATTATCAGATGAGTGTGCTGGAGTCAGCTCCAATTAGCTCCACTGTGGGGAGAGTGTTTGCCAAGGACTTGGATGAAGGAATCAATGCAGAGATGAAATATACTATTGTGGATGGAGATGGTGCAGATACTTTTGATATTAATACAGACCCAAATTTCCAAGTTGGCATCATAACTGTAAAGAAGGTAATCCAATTTCCTTTTCAAATCATTTTCAAGGGTACTTTGCGTAGGGAATGCTAGTGAAGGGTGGTTGTATATTAGGATATGTTTTGTTTTATCCTCTGATAGAATCTCTTTTCTGGACCAAAGAGATGACTCAGCAAATAAAAGCATTTTCCACAAAATCCTGATGACCTAGAACCCACATTGCTAGAAGATAATCAACTTCTACAAGCTTTCCTTATGACCTCTATATAGCAGCATGGCACTGATACACCCATACCCAGTCACATCCTCTCTCTCTCTCTCTCTCTCTCTCTCTCACACACACACACACACACACACACACCCACACACACACACACACACACAAACAATTAAAAAATAACTCTTTCTCATTAGCTTAATAAATAAACACCTCTTGCTGCTTGGTCTTACAAGCAAAAACACTGGCTGTGGCATTATTTTATAGAAAGGGTTACTAAAATACATTACAAATAAGCCACTTTTACTTAGCCACTTAAACTGCTATAGCTTAATGCTCTAATGTTTTTAATGACTTAATCAATATTTGAACCCCACATCTTTACATTAGTTTATCATAAATAGAAAAGAAAGCTATAATATTATTATTAATAAATAATACATAGTACTTTTTAATTGCTTCTTGAAGACCCATAAATGCAAATGAAACTCGAAAAGTTTTATCAAACATAAAATTTCTTTGTTCCATCTCAAGGTACCACGCTTCCTAAAGGTAAATGTTCATTCCTTATGTGCCATAAAGCACGTATGAATAAATTCAATAAATTTCTCCTATTTTTCGTTTTTTTTGGTGTGTGTGTAACATATTTGTACACATATGTACATGTGTTTATGCACATACACATTTGTGTAGATGCATGCAGAGGAAAGAGGTTGATTTGTTAGCCCTGGAAATCCTCCTGTCTTTGCATCATTAGCACTGGCTTTATTACAGATGACTGACTATGCATTAACTTGTATTTCTTAATTAAACATCACTTGGCCTGGCTTTTACAAGGATGCTTGGGATCCAGTTTGGGTCTCTATGCTTATGTGGAAATTATTTTACTACCTAAACCATCTCCTGCTGCCAGAGGCTCCTTGTTCATTCCCAGCCACCCAGTCCTGAAATAACCACAAAGAAACTGTATTAATTAAAATACTGCTTGGCCAATCACTTAGGCATATTGTTAGCTAGCTTTTATATCTAATTTATTCTTTATCATAACCAAGGGAACCAATAACTATCTTTCTTCAACTCCACCAAAGACTCCAGAAGGATATAATATTACCTAAGTAAACAGGAAGTACATTGTAAGCAATTTCCAAAATTCTAGAATTGATAGAGACATCTTGCTGCCTGGACATCCTCTAGTAGATTGGTGCTGCCAGGAGCAGATGGGTCTCATAGTCTTGAAAAGTTCTAAGTTCTTAAAACATTTTAAATGCCATGTTCTGTTAGTATTTGAAAGGTTTGAAGAATAACTGTCCATCTGAAGTCTCTGTACATCTAGAAAGCCTAATATGACTATAAGTTTGACTATTACAAATGACTATGCATTAACCTGTATTTCTTAATTATAAGTTATATTTTTAAATGAACTACATTGTGCTTATGTATGTATGTATAAGGTATTGTGCTTTACCTTAAATAAGAGCATAAATATATATAAGAAATTTGGCTTTAAATTTGTATCAATAGACCAAGATTCATACCAATGCAAAGTATTCATCTCTAGAGCAAATCCCCTTTTAAATATAAACAAACATTTATAAACAATATTTGGGAATAGTTCTCTCCAAACTGCTTCTTGCTTTTTGTTGGGTGAAGTAATTTTGGGGTTCACAGAGACCTTTCAGGGGATCTTGGTTCATCAAACCACATTAGTCTGGTAGGAATCCACAGATTCTCAACCTCTGTGGAAACAAAAGCAGACCTCTTTTCCAAAGCAACATATCTTTACTCAAATTTTGAAGTCAAGATATATATGGCCTAGCAGCCTGGACAATAAAATGTCTCTCTGTACTTAGCTCATTCACAGTAAAAAAAAAAAAAAAAAAAAAAAAAACAACGAAAACACAAAAGTATA